TAGCTATGGAAATAAGTAAATAAAGAGGGATAAAGAAGTATGCTCTTTGTAGAGATATTTTCATATGGACATAAGGAAGTCTTTGATAAGTCAGAGCTGCAAAGTTGCTTGTAAAGGTTTGCTCGGTATGTGTAAAGAAAAGTTAAATGCAGTGCGGAAGTATGACAAAAATCTCACAAAACCGGCTAAGTGCCCGAGGGAACTTCGTTTGAAATTGTTTGAATGAACACAAAATTAGAATGGCGATAAAAAGAAATCATTCAGAGAAAAATGTTGGGTGTCATTGGTTACACAACCGATCGCCAACAAGACGCATCCATATATGTTGGAGAAAAAGTACGATGAGTTTTGATAAATACAGTAAATTTTTGTCTAATTAATTTAATTAACTTTACTCTTTACTTAACTCTTCGTGGGTAAACATTCAATCAGCAATTTCTTAGTGATTTAAACAGAAATTTAATATTTTTCATGAATTTCCATAAAGATCCGAACAATTTATATGTAAAAATATACTTGTATGTATGTATGTACATATGTAATAAGCGTTGATGTATGTAAAATAACGAAAAGCTCACATACATGCCATGCAAAATCGAAACAGAAACCTTGCTTGATTTCTCGCCAATCTAGTGGCGCGTAACGAGGTCAATAAGTGAAAGGGAAGACGTCAACTTTCAGCTGTCGCGAATTTATGAATAATATTAACTCGCAAAAAAATAAAAAAAAACTGCTCATACGCATATGCTTCAGCAGGAAATTGATTTTTTCGCTCGGCAGCTGGAGAAAAAAGTTGAAATTGCAAAGAAAAAAACTCTTACATTTTGTGAAAAATTTGTTGAAATTTTCAAGAGCGGAGAAATTGTCGGACTGAAAGGGACATATCTATATAGTTTAAGTAATAATTTCATGAATTTGAAATCTTAATAATTTCTTCAAATTGAAATAAGCAAATTTTAAGTCTCATCGAGTTTTTTTAAAGTATCAAACTCAAGGCGAGTTCATACAAGTCGAGATTACACGAAATAGGCATAGGAGAAAGTTCTATAATTGCTATGGTCAAAAGAGATTACTAGATTTACAGCACTCCTTTCAGTTGTACACAGCGTTGCAGTACATTTTGTAATTCATTATAATTATTATTTATTCATTGCTTACATGGAAAGGATATGCTAATTTAACCACTGTAAAAACGTAATTTTCTTTTAAAAAAATGTCTTATGCATACTAAACCCCTTTTCTAAATTTCTTTGGCAAACACGAATCCAGATAGATGTAGATCCTTCATGATGTGGAACTTGGAATCGAATTCCCCTTTCTATGTACAAGAATCTTAAACATGAGTGAATTGGTGAAAGCAAATGCCATCGATCACAAAGCCATACCCATCTTTACAGGCGGTTCAAAGTTCGATGAAAAAGTGGGCTCTCCATAATGAGATCAGTTACGATAAATTCCGATAATCAAGCTGCCATCAGATCTCTACGGTGCAACAGTACCACAACGAAAGTGGCTATAAGACGAAGAAATAATCTGAAAAACCTCTCGACTAAATGCAAAACTACCTTAGTTTGTGTGCCCGGGCACTCCAGGCAATTGTCAGGCAGACGAACTAGTGAGATAGGGAGCCTTTCTATCCAAAATAAAGCATGTGCAAGTTGCAGGCTTACCTCTGTCACGGCAAAAAATATGCTAAGACAGGGCAACTTTGTCAAAAATACAAACACTAGATGTTTGTATGAGATCATGTGTAACCTAACCAGACAGTTATGGCTTTATGGAAAAATAGGCGTTCACTATAATGATATTTGCAACAGAAGAAGTTTCTCTATCATCTCATTCTCATCAGCGAAAGCTAGCACTGAAGCGAATTAATGAAATTAAAAAAGTAGAATTCGCTGCTCTAGTAACTCCACTTTGTGAAATTCGCCTTGATCGAACTACAAAAGTTTTCTACTTTGCTCTTTTCTTTAGATCGTATATATTTTTGTGATGGGTAGCAAGAATGTGAATAACATGTAAAGAAACAATAGAAGGAAAGCTGCTTTTAAAAGTTTGAAATTTTTTTTTATACTAGGGAAGCTCTAAGACCCTTTTTTTCTCCCGAAAACAAGCATATACTTGTCGGGTAAAGTAATACATATATTCCTTGCTGCTCATTTCTTGAAAAGAATCGAGATATCATCGGATACATGAATATGAACTGGGAGTTTTCGAATCACTAACTCGATTTTCGGCCGAGTTCCTTTTCCAAATTGCTCAGCCCTAAACAGCTGATGAACTTTTATGAGAAGCTTTGATTTCCATGCCAGAATTATGCGGACAGGGCTTGATATTTCTTGCCGAGGAGCAACCGCTATTAGAAGAATTACATTTCTATAATTTTAATTTGGACCCGAACTTTAGCCAAACGTATTTTGGGGCGCAAGACTAACGACTCGGCTATTCAGACTTGACAAAAATATTCATATTAAAGAAAACATAAAAAATTTGGCATATTTTTTTCAAAATGAGTAATTTAACAAAGCATCTCAACAACAACCACCAAAGTGTCCATTAATTAAAATATTTTTAATTTTATTAAAGAATTTGAAGTGGAGCAAAAACACTGGCTTTTTGGAGAAGTGCAAAAAATATTCGGAAACCAATTTTTAAAGCGTAATCTTTCAGAAAGCCTAACGGATACTAGGTCAAAAGCGATGAGGAAAAAGCGGAAGGTTTCTCAGCAAGAAATTGACCTAAACAGTCTATTTGCATCTTATGGTGCCTTGTCGTCATAAGGTAAGATGCCAAGAAAGACCTGTAGTTGATTGGTGCGGACCAGCGGCTCTTAGGTAGGGGGAAACATTGTTTAAAAGAGGATACACCTTTTTTTACAACTTTAAGTCTTTCTTCCCAACTTTTCGAAGCTGCAATTTTTTTAATATAAAAAACCAAACTTTTTGAAAAATTCTTCTTAAGTGACTTAATCAGTGCAAACGTTGTCTCTTGATACGCAAAACTATGTCAATGTTGCCGAATATAAATATAGTTTGATTTTTGTCTGTCGACTTTTCAATTGCCTGCTCAGTCTAAAGTAGAAATTATTGGTAAGACTGACACTGCGTTGCATTCCAAAGTTACCGTTGATGTTTCTGTAAGTGCTGGTCCCAAGATAGACTAAACTATCCCCCACCTCAAAGTTATGACTGTCAGCAGTGTCGTGGGAGCCAAGCAGTGAATGCAATGACTGTTTGGTTCAGTACAAGAGATATTTCGTGCCTTCGTTCACAACCACACCCACACAAATTATAATAACAATTTTTCCTATCAGCCTGATCGTAGTTGACCCGTTATTATTATGAAGATAAATATTAAAAATTTCATTTTTGGTCAGACAGTCTCGACCAAGCTATCTAAATGGCCTTTCTACCAAGGCAGAGGCCAAATTTCAAGTTCGATCATGAAATTCAGACACAGGCAAATTAAAAGACAAGCAATGCAAATTTCTTATTTTTTATTTTACTCCTTATTAATTAAAGGTTAATATTTCCAATCTTGGAGAGGGGTCCGGGGATTATTTTCCAATTGGCCGTCACTTTTTCACACCGGTCGTAAGAAGAATATGACCTTTATATAATAGCATCTGTGAAGAGTAATTGGGAAAATTTATCCTGTTTTAATCCACTACCCACTACGGCACTACATCACATGCACTAATTTGATCCATTCTCTGTTCTTAGTAAGGTTTTTTTTTTTTTTAAAAAACGGCTTATTCGTGAGCACACTCACATACATATTTAGCAAAATGCAAGCATATGTACTAAATTTACTTTTGAATTGAAATATCAATTTTTTCTTCTTCAAATCAAAATTTCTCCCTTCTCTGTTACACATTTAATTCAAAGTATGTACTTTAAATCATCCTTTTGGCATTGCATTTCCGGAAAATTGCATTGACACAGAAAAAATGAACAAAATTAGCGCAAATATTCCTATTTCAACATCTGCTAAAGTCTACATCAATTGCAAAGTCAGTTTAACTTTGAGCAGCAAAAATTCCCAATCGGTCAGTACATGGCGTATGAGTAATGTGCACATAAGTGGAAATATATTGATACCCTAAGTATGTATGTAGGTACTCGTACATAAGTAAGATGTATGAGATGAAGCCTACACGTAGAAACGAATTTATAAAATAGCTTTATATTCTATTTTTTATGTAGAGCAGACGTGTGGATACGACAAAACCTTTTTGCTACGCAAGGTTGGTAAGAGATTCTTACCCGGAGCTCTGTATGCATTAATGTATCGCATATATAAGTAGGTGTGTGTGGGTGTTGCTGGCATCAGTGGCTGGCATCAGTGACTGACATCTAATTAACTTTGGTGAGAAATGTGTGCTTTTGATTGTCACAGCTTATGGTGACCAGACGATATCTAAAGTTTTTCTGTGGAAGCTTATGGTGACCGGACGCAATCTAGATTTTTTCTATGGAAGTCGGACAAAGTAAATTTCAGAGCATTTTCTTTTTCAACTTACAATTAAAATTGAGTTTATTTATTTTTATAAAACCCACTTGAGAATATTAGAAATTAAGTTTACTAAATTAAAATAAAATAAAATAAAATAAAATAAAATATAATAAAATAAAATAAAATAAAATAAAATAAAATAAAATAAAATAAAATAAAAAAAAATAAAAAAAAAAATAAAATAATAATAATAATAATAAAATAAAATTATTCAAAACAAAATGAAAAAAATAACGACAATATTAAATAAAATAAAATTATATCTATAGTTATCATATTGAATATGGAAACCTCAGAAGAGGAGAAAAATATCGCACAGTACCTTTTTAACTTTTAGTTTTTTTTCAAAGTTGAATTAAGAAATTACTTAAAAATGTAGAGAGAAAATGAACAATTAAAATGCATTGATTAACAGTTAATTATAATAATAAATCTGATAAATTTATAATTACTGATAAAAATGCATTCTTTCCTTTTCTTTTCAGCTGCCCTAAGTCATCAACCAGCCTTGGTGTTGGCCTCCGCTGGCACACAAAGTCTCGCGCACCACACTGTCATCGCGAGCGATTCATACTATGCAGCTTTACAACGCAGCAGTAGTCAACAATATTTGCAACACCAATACCAGCAGCAACAGCCACCACAACAACAATTGCAGCAAAATTATAAACAACAGCAGCAATCAAATAATATCAATATGCCAGACTTCAGCGGACGTTCGTACGTGGAACCAATGGAATTGGATGAGCAACAGCTGGAGTCGAGCGCTTATCCACCGCCAACATTTGATTTTGGTATGCCAAGAAATATAACAGCACGTGCGGGTCAAACGGCAGCGATAAATTGTCGAGTGGAATATTTGGGTGATAAATCGGTGAGTGTGAAAAATATGTACATACATACGTATGTATATAGTTTGTAGTTGCAGATTATATAAATAAACACAGAGGTATATATTATATGTACGAGTACACTTAGCATACATTATTGATAGATGCGTTTGTATGTGTGTTTGCTTGCATTTATTTTGCTTCCTTCGTGTGTATTTCTTTACATTGATTCCATTTTGTTTTATGTTTCAAATTTATTGCTTTACTTCATGCTTTAAGTTTCACTTCATTGCTTTATTGATGTGTATATTTGCTTTTTTATTTCGATACTTACAAAGTAGTTTGCTTTTTTGAAAGGAGTTTTTGATGATTTGTACTCTATAAATATCGTAACAAATATTTTGTTTACATCCGAGAAATATTTTGAGGCGATGAAAATCGTTTGGACTTTTCACAGACTTAAATTCTGCTTCTTCTTTGGAAATATTTGTACGTACACGTATTTAATGTTGTTTACTCGAAGATCCACTTAATACATACAAAGTGATTTTTTGGTTTGCGAAAATCTGATACTCAAAAAAATCGGAAAAATTGTATTTGTATTTTTTTTGGAAAAATTCTTTTGGTAAATATATCAAAAGCAGCAGTGATGAAAGATTATTTAAGATGATCCCAGAGGAACTTTTTCTAAAAAAGTCGGCGTCTTTAAGATTTTAGGAAATTTAAGGTAAATTTACTAATGAACATGGTGGCCACAGGGGCCGAGGAGTTATTAATTTGTGTTACGAGGTTCAAAATCTAAAACGTTTTTTGCATGTTTCTTAGATGGGAGTATCAATAGCTACGAATGTAATTCCAACATACAAATTGAAGCTTCACATGTAATTACTATCGGAGCTTGAAGACAGCTTAAAGCTCTAGTGGCACTTAGCAAAAACCCGAAAATGAATAGCATTGAACGAACTGAAATAATATATTATGACGAACTCTATCCGCATTATCGCCGGATGCTAGGGTCTTTCACAAATGGATAGAGTTCGCTTCAAAGCATCATAAAGGTAGAAGAGTTGGACCTCATGACTAAATACCTCAAGAGGGTGAGTAATACTTCAATGCCACTAAATGTCTGATAATTTCAAAAAGGAGAAAAGTATTGCCTCACACTGACCTTCCCAGAGGAGTTGCAATAACTCATCGCCTCTAAATATCTAATCTGTTGTAAAAAAGGAGAAGGATTAGAATAGGGAATAATAATCACATGTTTGTGTTAAAGCTACCTGTTGTTACAGTAGTTTTTGCAAGACTCTTTCATTTATGGTTTTCCTCTACGCATTGTCTAACCCCGGGCAGTTAGATTTTTTATATATGATGTATACGTTATTGTTGTCGTTGTAGCGGTTCGCTAATATCGTTTAGGAGCAGATAACGTCTGTCCTTGGAGGTTCTCCAATGGTAGATCCAGTAAATGAGCTGTTTCGGCAGGTTCGGACAACAGTACAGGGTGGATTAGCTGAGTGTGTAGTGTCGTGCGGGAACTTATTTTATGGAGGACAAACATTGGGTACGTTCGGATCAAGTCTGGATTGGTAGGAGTATAATTTATTACAAAATCTAGATCTAAGTTGTGCCAATAATATGCGGCACTCCCGATACAACTCGAGCTCTTCGTCTGCAATAGGTGACAGCATGATTCCGAGAAAGCCATTCAGTGGGAAAGAGTTCAGGAAGGTGTGGATGTACCCTCGGTGAATAGCGTTCAATACCTGCCGGTTCTACGCCCTGGTGTAGATCCGTATTTTATTCTGTCGAAAGGCTGTCAGCTTTGCGGCGATCTAACCTCGTTTAGGTCAGCAGGTAATATTAGTTCGGTATTATGATTGAATCCATACAAAGCTTACAGCGCTTCTAACAAAAGCGTTAATTTTTCTAGAATTAATTTTAAGGTATAAATAAATAGCAACGGAATTGCTGTTATCTCCAATGACATTGCTTAGTGCTTCTCTTGAAATGATAAACCTTGTATATCTGTACGTATATATGTATGTATGCATAAGGTTATATTTGACCCACATATATAATGATTAAGAAAAGTGATTGACTTTTTGTTTGACTTCAAATGCCAAGCAATCGCAGAACTTATTGCATACACACGCACACACACACACACACACACACACACATCCACACTACTACCAACATCACAACACAAAAATTGACTTTGCTGTTAGTTAGTTTGTTTGCTGATTATTGCATTTCACTTCTTGCACTTTGTGGCAATCGACAACTTGCTGTGAATCCCCAGAGGCAAGTCTTGTTGTGAGCGATGACGCTGTATGAAAAAGTAAAGTAATTTTGTTCAAATAACGGTTGTTTATAATGGTATGTAATAATCGAGGTGTGGTTGCAAGTTTGTCTATTTCTATTTGCATTTCAACTGAACATTTAAGGTTAAGTAAGAGTAATTAATCCATTCTGGCCACACTTTTTTTTGCTTATAACCTTTGTTATACTACTGACACAGTTCCAGGATAAAATTTAGTGGAACCAAGCTGCCGAATAGCAAGTTGCTGATGGCTTAAGATCAGGCTACTCCATCCAATGAGGTGGTACTTATTATTGACTGCCTTTCCCTCAGTTAATAATCCCAGCTGCTCAAATGAAAAGGAAAAAAATTTTCATCTCACTTTGATCAGATCAGTAATAATGAAAAGTTCACGACGAATTGCTCAGGAATCCAAGCATAGGCTTACTTTCTTCTTAAGCGAAGTCAGGCTCCGAGGCACTGAATTCGGCCGAACGCACTAAAATGATTTAGATGCTGAAAATACAAGTGATTTGAGATCTTGTAATGGAAAAATATTGAAATTTCAATTTTAACCTCCAATCACTCAAAAAGGAAAAAATAGGAGGATTCAGTTTCACAGACGCAGCCCTCAATTGAACAGGTTGACAAAAAAGCATCATCCCGCACATGGAGAGCCTCCGCACGATAATAACCACCTCTTCACATGCCCCCTTAAGCTGACACTTCTAACACTCCTCTCCCTCAGGTCTAATCCCTCGAAACAGCATGTTTCCTGGACCTCCCATTAGACAACCTCGGCTGCATAGATTAACCAACCTGTCCTTCGCCCGGATAAATGCAGCCACTACAACAACTACAACAACTAAAGAGCATCAAAGAGTGTCGCGGCATTGCAAAGCAGAGTTTTCCTGGTTTCTAAGATCTGGTAGGCTCAACCGGCGACATACTTCACAAACTATGTTTAACCAGCTTAGCAAGTTTGGCCTCCTCTTTCCCTCATATTCGATGTGGACGGACCTCTTTTTATATTTAAAACTTTTTTTATGGAAGTTTGCAGATGTTGATCTGCCTAACTCATGCTGCATAGTCTTGCAACAAATAGTCGTATCTACTTCACTACAATCGGTAGACTATAAATCGTATTTAGAGAGGGGAATAGTCTTCATCATGTTTTTCTTTGCAATATATTACCTTAACAAAACCAGGTAAAAGAAAAACTAAATTTAAAGTCGATAGGCGGAGTTTTAAAAGATGATCTGAGCTTTGATTAGTGAGACTTGACTTGACTTGGATAAAAGCATACCCATTGGAACCAAAGATTGAACTGCTTAACAAAAAAGGGAACGCCAAAATTCCAGCCATTACCCTCCTCTATATCTCTAAAAACATCCTATCGAACATGAAAGCCCATCGTCAATAAACTGATTGGACCTTATCAGTGTGGCTTAAAAACTGGTAAATCAACCATTGACCAGATATTAAGCATACGCCAAATCACGGAAAAGCCACATAAAAAGAGAATCGACGCACAACACCTTTTCGTAGATTTAAGAGCAGCATAAAAAGGAGCGGTCTCTATGCAACTATATCTGAATTTCATATCTTTGGCAAACTTTTACGGCTATGTAAACTAACGCAACAAAAGATCCGTCAGGATTGGGAGGGACATCTCGGAGTCTTTCGATGCTAAACGAGGTTTGTGGTTGGAGAAAATAATACCAAATGCAGAGCTGAATAGAGCAGGTACAATCTTCTATGAGAGTGTACAACTGCTCAATATGGGTGAGTAACAATTCTTCAGATTGGATAAGGAAGCGAATGATATGGGTCTGGTAGTCAACGAAGACAAGGCGAATTATCTCCTGTTATCAAACACACAGTCATCGCCTTCGGGACTCGGTTCCTACCTCACCTTTGACAGACATGATATTGAGTTCATAGTTGAATCCCGTCAGCGTCAACACCAATAATAATACTTGGGTACTTTTGAGGGTAGGCAATTGAAAATTAAAGTCCTCTTTCAAGTCACTCATCATTCCCGGTCTGCTATATGATGCGGAGGCACGGAAGATGACAACATCTGATGAGGAGAGTTAGCAGTTTCGGAGAGCGAGGTTTCCCGCGAGATTTATGGTAATCTCTACATTGGAAATGGTGAGTACTGCGAGTGAGGAAATGTTGAGCTGCTCGTGATATATGATAATATTGATATAGTTCAGCGGATCAAAAAACAGCAGCTAAGCTAGCAAGGACATGTAGTGGATAAGAATAATCCAACTTTGAAAGTTTTCGTCGGCCGAAATAGAGGAATGTAAGGACTTTCACTTGGTGGAGCAGTTAAGAGGAAAAATACTTGACTTCACTTGGTATTTCCAATTGGCGTCAAACAGCGAAATGACGGAGCGAATGGCGTGGTGTTGTTAATCGGCTATAATCGCATAAGCGCCAGAAAAGAAGAGGAAGAGGTATATCAAGAAATATTAGTAAAATGGTGTAAATAGATTGCGAGCTTGCACTGAATAAGCTCTTCCTTAACTGTGGTTTTTCTCACTTTTCGCATTTCATCACTTTACTTTTTCCTTTTTTACAACGCCAATTTAGCTCATCGAATTCCCGGAAGCAATAAAGGTTTTCTTTTACTATTTATCTCTGCTCGCCATTCCTTACTATTTTTTGCATGGATTTACTTTGCACTTTTACTATTTTTTCCAGTATTTGTTGTTGTTGTGTTTTTGTGAAAATTGATTGGTTAGTTGTTGTTTGGATGCTTGCGTCTTTGATAAGTTATGTAACTCGTGCTGAGATTGGGCGAGAAAAAAGTTTGCAGAAGATTGAAGAATATGCATATTTAGCTTAGATAAATACATACATATTATATATATACATACATACTGGCATACAACTTTCCTTTTGAGTTTTGGCTATGAATTTATTTGGTCTTGGTGTTTATGTTTATGCTTCATTTACTTGTTTAATCACCTTTGGGTTTAGATTGGCATGTTGTTTATGATAAAGAACTAACACACACACTTTCATTTGCAGTGTTGCTTGTTTCTTTTCATTCATTGAACTATTTTTACAATTTCTTTACAGGTGTCGTGGATTCGAAAGCGAGATTTACATATCCTCACAGCCGGAATATTAACTTATACGTCCGATGAGAGATTTCAGGCAAGTATCTCCATTGTTTTTCCGCTTAAGTCACAATTAGGGCCTTTCTGTGCATCATGTCGAGTGGTATATATTTTCGAACATGGACTGCAGGATTTATTATATGTGGGGTTCACAGTCAATTAAATTCTTCAAAATACACGTTTACGCCACTAGTAATTAAAATAAATATATTTGCATTAAATTCATTCAATATTTATTTAATATTTACTTAATATTTTTCTTTAATATAACTTTACAGGTTTTTTTATATTAACTTAAATAACTTTAGAAATTTTACACGACGCTTCAACGCTTCATTACACAGTACTTTTGTATCCATACTCCTTTATGTCCGTTATTTTGTGTCCGTTATTTTATGTCCGTCACCCAAGCTTCGTCCAGTCAGTGTTGCCGTCAATATCGTTCAGGGACGCATTTATTGGAATCCCACATCCGGTCATTCTGAACTGTCATACGCCTCTGATGACTAGGTCCACGGTTTCATATACTCTGCTACAGTAATCGTACGCTCTGGACGCTCATAATAGCCAACCTTTTCTACTTCATAGCGGCCGTGTCCCATTTTCTTAAAAATTTTATAAGGTCCTAAATATTTTGCCCTAACTTCATACCCGTCCCATACTGCGTTCGCTAAATGGCTACTAAAGTACAATATTTAACTCATAATCTTTTTCTGGTTTATGCCTAAGATTAACATCCTGCGATTTTCTTCTTGAATTTCCTCTGTATTTCGTTTGGCTTCTGCTCGAGTTTCATCACGTATTTTATCTAATTCCGCGATTTCCTCTTTTTCGCATTAAGTTATTCTTGAATATTATTATGATTTTATTCTTCCGAGTTTGAGGCCCTGTGGCTTTCGGTTATCGATCCCAAGCACAGTTTACTATACGTTAGTAGCATGCTTCTGAAATGGTGAAATATTTTTTCTTGAGAGGAGGTATCTTTCGTCTCTTTATCCTTTACTGCCTTGTCGTTTGGGAGCTACCCACGACTCTCCTTAGTGTACAGACTTCCTGTTGTTTAATACAAGTGCATCTTCTATCTCTCTTCAAACCTCATTGCTGCATAGAAAATATGTGGTACGCTCTCTGTTATGTTAATTGCTTATGGATTTCAATTATGCTATCATCCCGAATTGCAGTATTTCTATTTCTCTCATCTGTTTGTTCGGTGGAATTTGACGACTGAGGTGTGCTTGAGAATGGAGCCTCTAGCCCTCTGTGTCGAATGATGGCAGCAAGTGTGTATTGCATTGGTTTTTAAGGTTGACATTATCATTGGTGTTAACGCAAATCTCTAGATAGTCGATGCTTGGACTGTCAACAGTGACGTGTGTGCCGAATCACAAATGCGATGATTGTTTCTTTGTTGACAGGAAACACGTTAACTTGCCCTCGTCTACTAACAAACACTTATCCAGTCTATAAAAAATAGAATTCACTGCGGGGTTGTTATTATTGGTGTACGACAGCTGCTGTACACTCTTATAGAAGACTGCACGACTCGGTCAAGTTCTTTCTAATCCTGAAGGGGGGGGTTCTGCGTTGTCGAAGGCTGCTTAAAAATTATCAACGAGGCTGTGTGTCGATCCTTTTAACACGGCCCATTTCCAAAATTTACCGCATGATTAATATCTGGTCAGTGGTGTAATTATTAGGTATAAAGCCAAACAGTTTGTGGGCAGCGGTATCCCCTTTTTGTGAAGTGGGCAGAGCAGACTTAAGTCTCAATCGTCGGACCTTATTTTATCTGTCCATGTTTTGGAAAGAAGCTGATGCATACCGCGTGGTCGGGCAATGAAACATCTGTTCCATCGTCATCGATTGAGCGAACGGGTTTGCCAACTCCTTGCTTTCTATTTTCACTGCCATTCGGCAAGCTAGTTAAATCTTCTCTCGATTAATTCAGTATTTTTCATATGTGGGCACATAAAATCGGTTTGATGTATGCAAAATGGAGCACCCGTTATTTTATTTTGCCTTCCTTTCCACATATTGTACATATTTTACATGAATTAAATATGTAACCGTAAGTTACTTAATTGATAATACAATTTTATGTAAATTTTTAATCTCACTTTTTTGTGTATGAAAATAAAAACATTTATTATTATTCACGCACGATTATTTTTCCATAGATTTAATAGTCATTTATTTCGTTAATCTGCCATGAAACGTATGCGCACACTTAGCAGCAGAGTGTTATCGATTAATTTAATATCTATGAGTACATAAGTACATATAAATATACATAAGTGGCTTTAATAAATGGTTTTCATGAATTATGCTGTATAGTGAAGTTGCGTTAAATCCGCTTTATACATATGTACATGCTATATAAAGTCTTCATATAAAAATATTAGGTCAAGGAGAAAGTTCGTTCGGTTTTTATCTAAGAGATGACGTTATGGTCCATAGTACTAGTGTTACGTGTTGCATCGTGTCATACTATTAGGCGCTGAAAATGTGTTTACTCTCTCTAAAAGTTTGTCTTTGACAGTTTACTCAGTACGTTGTGAGCGCTCTTCAAAGATGGACACCAGCAAAGAGAATATTCGCTATATTTTACAATTTTTCTTCGATCAAGGCGAAAAAGCAGCCAAAGCGGCAAGGAATCCTTTAACTGCGAGCTGCTCCCCTATGGATAAATGCTCAATTCGGCCCTCTACTACAAACAAATGGACCGCTTGGAGGCAGCACTAGAAGAGGCCATCTTTGATCCACAGAGGCCGAATTGAGTTCCATCAGGCCATCGCCAGGCCACACACGCCTTTGGTGATGCGCCAGAAGCTCCAGAAGCTCGGATGGGAGGTTCTAATGCATCCACCTTATAGTCTGGACCTGGCACTAAGTGATTACCATCTTTTCCTGTCCATGGCGAAAGCGCTCAATGGTGAGATGTTTGCCTCAAGAGAGACCTGTGAAAATTGGCTCTCAGAGTTTTTTGCCAATAGGGATGCAGCCTTCTACGAGAGGGGTAAAATAATTTGGAAATATTTATAAAAAATTTTGAAAATAAAAAAAAATTGTGAGGCATTAAACAAATTTTTATGAATGGAAAGAGGAGAATTTAGACGCATTTTAAAAATATTTAAAAATTTATATTGGATTTGATAATTTTTGTTAGTTTTGCTAACAATTTGCACACTTGCTTTTCAACAATTCGATTCAAAGCGAGTTCATTTGGCGCATAAGCAACAACACGTGCTTAATTTATAAATTTACAAACGAAAATTCTCTTCCCAATTCACCGTTTAGCACATTTCGCAATTCCATTTTTACATACAAAACACGATTGTGCAAACTTTTCGTGGAAGTTAATTTTTGATTCGATCTAATGTGGGCGCTGATCACGCCCTATGGCTTCAATTAACATATTGGCAACTAATTCCGAACTGCTGCCGCCGCTGCTGCCGCTGACTTTAATTCGAGTTTCTCATTGTGCTGTTGTTCTACTTACATCGCACGCACGCACTATGGAAAGTTCTCACAGCCATTGTTGTGCACACGACGAGATCATACATGCATATGTATATATAGACACACAATAACAAACTCAAAAGCATCGCTGAGTAAAATACCTGTGTGAAATATTTCAGGTGATCAGTTTCTTGATATGACATTTATGGAATGGAATTGTACTAGTTCATTTTGAACTAGATTTATACCAATTGCAACCTCGAAAACTCTTGTCTCAAACTGTTGTTAGTTTGAAATGAGAGCCAAGTACTTGGTTGGTTGGATCATATATTCGTACCCATCTTCATCGACGGTTCTAAGCTAGTTGACAAGGTAAGCTGTGGGGTTCGCTCTGAGCCGATATACATATATACATATATATATTATTGACGCTTTGTAACCGGCCGGGCTCCTCCTACAAGTTGTGATTTTGCGTCTTGATGCTTTTTCAACAAATGCAGGAACATACAGTTTATACTGAGCCGTCTCTTAACGTCTGATGGTTTTTTTAGGAAGCGATTTTTTTCAATCTGGAAATGCACTCAGAGGGGTTGACATTCCCTGCCGAAGGGCGAGCGCAGGGCCGTTTGCTACATAATTAAATAAACGGTTACCATGTGGGCAGACCGTTTTCCTCGACAAAAGTATCTGCTAAGACCAGGCTCAACAGTACTAAGTCCCTGCTCTTTCCAAGCCGGACTTCCATAAGCACAGCAATTGGTACTGTCTGGGTAGTTATCGATGGGCTGCTTCTCAAACGACTTCACCCCCAGCTGTAAGGACATGCATAGATGAGGTGGAATAGGTGGAACACTACCTCTGTCACTGTCCAGCTCTTAGTGCGGCCGTTATTATTTTTTCGCCGATTTCTTCTTTGAACGCCAAACAGAACTTGTATCGCTCACAAATCTCCTGAATTTCATAAAACACGCCAAGTGGTCTGAACATTAGGAAACCAGCAAAGAGTCAATCAATGGATCATACCGTGAAAGCACTATAATGGAAGGGTGTACGAGCTGAGCCGCGCTGCCGCCATTGACCACGCTTTATCCATCTTCCATCGACTCGGCCCTTTCAGCAGCTTCAACAGTTGTCCTGGAGTCCTGGAGTACTTTCACCGTAGGATATACCAAAAAATTATGGTGGGTCAGTGTTCTTATGGGTGTAATGACAGGACATCTACCACTGAGATATCAGCTAGATAAAGTGAAATGGGCTAAGTGTAGAGCATACACTGAATATGAAGAAACGCTTATTTTCAGCCAATTGAGACGTTTTATCTTTCCACGATGCTCCCAGATTCAATCTTATGGAGGTGGGCACATATGGTTAGAAGAAATGAAATTAGCTCATTATAACAATGGCCAACAATGGCCATTATAACAATGTGCTCAGGTCCCCAACTTACCATTGCAACTAACTAACCAACCAAACAATAATTAAAAAAAATTAAAATAAATAATTAAATACATATATATATTTTATTATATTTATTTATATTTTCATAAAGCTCCCAAATACTTTATGGGAGTTCAAAAAACGTGCGGCTGTCAGTTAAAGTAGCTTTTTCCTACAGCGCACTATTGTTATACCATATAACTGTATGCATGTTTGTATGTGCGCACTTGATTGTTTGAACTTTCTCCTATTTTTGTATTCACAGGTAGTACGCACCGCTGATTTCAAAGATTGGACGCTGCAGGTGAAGTACGCACAGCCACGTGACAGCGGCATCTATGAATGCCAAGTAAATACGGAACCGAAGATTTCGATGGCTTTCCGGTTGAATGTTATAGGTGAGTGAGCTTTAAGTGTTAATATGAAGGGAATCAGAGGAATTTGATTTTTAATTTTTTTATTGCTAATTAACTTTAATTAATTACTCAATTAATATAGTACGAGATTTTTCAGTGTTTTCTAGGAAAGAACGATAAAGTATTTAGATTTCAAGTGTGGAGTGTTGAAATTTTACTTATTTTCGAACTATTCTTGAAATGATTGACAATATCCTAGTACTCAAAAGATCACAGAAATCGGGCGGAAAACAATGATGGGTCATGGTTAGCTTTACAGGTAGAATTAAAGACAAAAATTATTCGTAATGCTACTGCTTCTTGGCAGTGAAAGACAAGCCTGCCGAGTATATTTGTGATGTGCAACAAAAAGCTGCTCATAAGAAACCACATGATCATCTGTTGAGTTTCAAACAAGATGTATGCCATAAATTGGAAGAGAAGTTCGGCCGAAGTTTGCTTCAACGATTAAAAAAGTGAATCATGTGTAAAGAGTTGACCATACTAGATGAACTCATATATGAACTCGTTATTAGAAAAATCATTATAATTCGATTCAAGAAGATTTAAGTACATCACTTTTGAAAATGATAACGCATAAGGAGGCCTCCGAGCTCTAATGGCCAATGCCTTGAGTGATAAGGCGGCTCTTTATCGTACGTTGTTGGCCTGACGTTCATTTATGATCCTTGGCTTGTGGATATATACCTTTGATTTCAAGTACCCCAGCGAAAAAAGACCGGCGCTGTCAAATCTGGCGAATGTCGAGAACAGTTCTAAAAGCTGTATGAGTTGGTGCGCCATCTTATTGAAACCAGAAGTGTTCCAGGCTATTTTCACATTAGATGTCATCAAAACATCGGCTAATATAGTACTATGTAGCATAATGATCCTTATTGGTGGCGATATTTTAGTCGAATCGTATCGAGTGCTTTTCATTTGGATGCTTGAGGTTAGCGACAGTACTGGAAAACAAAAGTCTTTTGTACTGCCTCTTTATTCTCAGGTACTCACAAGTATGACGATGATGTCTCTTTATTGTTAAGTTTAACAAGTGAAATAAGAACGATTTAGACGCACTGGAATGGTCTGAACAGTTTCATAGTAAAAGTCTCTTAAAGCTGACGCTTAAAACTTGTTTATGACACTACTCCATCTGAGAATTCTTGTCGAAGTGATAGTGCTGCTAAATTCTTTGGTTGGTTCAAAGTTGGAGTATGCAAGCTTAATTTGTAATCCAATTTATTCTACGCAGTGCTCTAAACTTTAAATCGTCCGACGTAGGTTTATTCGTTTTGCTCTTGCTTCTCTCCACATCTCCGATCGCCTACTCATTTATACTTCTCGATGTATGCTTATACATCTGAAATCTCTTGCTCTTCGACGATTTATACACCATCAATGGCTAAGTGGACTGTCCAGAGCTGCTTGAGCAAATCTGCTTTAATGTTCCCCATAGAACTTTGAGCTCTCATTATCCATTTTATTTAGATGTAATTAAAGCCAGTTATCATAACTACGATCCTATTGTTAGAGCACTCTCTGAATTTGATGGAATCTCTAAAAGACTTCATCTTGATTTTGCATTCCCTAGATTTAATTTCGGCTTTATCCTTAATACTTTTTATTCTTTGTATACATTCATTGTTTTAAATCTCTAATTAATTTGTTATTCTAGTCCAGATCAGTGTTGTAAGCTATTAAAAGACTCAGCCACACTTTGTTGTAGATTTCTGACTTTGGTTCAATTTACTTCATAATAGATATTGGAAAGTAGTGATCGGTAAAATTCAATTAGTGCAAAATATAAATTTGTTTTTATAGTATTGATCTAGCTACGAATTGAAGTGCATAATATGTTTGGTTTTCGAATCGTATTACAGTCTTTGATTAATTTTTTACTCTGGAAAGGAGTTGCATATTGGAAATAGTCAGAGACTAGTCGCTTTTTCGCTACACATGAAATTGTGAATATGAATGCCTCGAAGAAAACCGAGCTCCAGTACTCTGACCAACGCTAAAATTCAATAACGGTAAATGTTTTAAGTAAGTAAGTAAGTAACTTCTTTATAGGTTAATCTAAGCAAAATCCAACCAACGCACTGAGTTTCGAGTAAATGGAACTTAACGCCTCATCCATTTCCAACATTTCTTTATCTAAACAAAAAAAAAACTTGTAGAAAAATTCAACGAATTCGAACTAAAAAATGTTTACTCAATAAAATTTGTATGTGATCTAGTTTGCGAAATTTCAAGTAAATCAAATAATAAATAAGATTTTCTGTGTCAGTTCGGCTTCAGATCCACATTTCGACAGAAATAATGGTCCCTACGATAATTTAAACATACAGCTAACTGTGTACCATGCAGACATATATATATAAAAGGTGATCAATTTTGAAGTTTCCTACTTTAAGGAAGAGAAAACACTGAATTCTCGAATGCTTGTTATCATTCGAAAGATTATTCTTTGGCATTTAGTTCTTGAAGATTATCTCTTTTTAATGTTGGTCACCTCAGATGTTCAGCCGTCTCGCTCCAGCATATCGACTTGTAAATGGCGAAGGACAAGGATTAAATTTTATGCTCACCGAAGTTTTCTGTGGCACCGTATTGTTGAAACCGAATGTTGCCGAGATCGCGAGCACCGATTTCAGGCGACGGCGGTTGCGGCATCATTTTTGAAGAAATATGGACCGATGATTCCACCGGCTCGCAAACTACACCAAACCGTAGTTTTTTCTATATGAAATGGCAGCTCCTGAATCTATTCAGTTTGCTCTTCGTCACATACCAAACAATATATATAATATACATATATATAATAGGCGCTTTGTAACCGCTGAAGCCATTTTCGGCCAAACAATACAGAAAAAAAATAATATGACAGCTTGACACGGCTCACGCGTCAGTTGCCAAAAAAAAGTTTGTTGAAAAAAGTACTTCTAATTGGCTCACCCGTTACACATATGTACATATTGTCTTTCATATACATTTCTGCATAAAAATGTTTTTTCTTAAAGCAGTCGTTTCTCGGCAGAGAACATCAAATAAAAACTCCTGATGGAAATTCATAATTTTCTTGATGGCAGCACCAATTTCATTGCAAAATTATCATTTCATAGATCTTGTAAAATAAAATTACACAAATTCTCAGAGAATTCACTCATTATTATAAGAAGTAGCTACAGGACCATTATGGACTCCATGTCCTGTTGGATTGGGGTACTGGAACTTTTTCGATGTAATCCGAGAGCTGTCAGGACAGGTACCCATGACAAAGGGCTACAAAACGCAATATTTCTGGTCCTAATTTCAGATGAGTTCAACTGCAGGTCCACAGAAAAGCGAGAACTTGACCGCGCTGCCACATTTAAAGGTTATATTGGAAAATGTGACTCTCCTCAGCGTTAAACTCTACAGTCATAGCAAGCTCGTGGAGCGTGAGTTTGAGTTATTATTATCGTGAGCCAAAAGGCATTATAATTGAATATATTTTAACCTTGTAAGCTGACTTTGGCTCTCTCCTGGTCGAATTTGTAACAAAAAAATCGTATACCAAAGATATCAAGGATTTAACCCTCAGATCAGTTTTACTTTGCAATATTTTGCTGCGATTTCTGACATTATTTCCTGTCTTATGTAGAGCTGCCTTAATGCTGTTGGCCGATCGATAGAAATAACATCTCAGCTACAGCGAAAGTAGCCTGATAATATAACTGTACCCCATAACATATGAAATTCAAGAATAAATTTTTAAAGTTTCAAACTTTGTTGCTGACACAAAAGATAAAATGATTGCAAAGATGTTACTATGAAAACTGTCGAATTGCAATGCAATGCCCAACTACCAACAACTTAAGTTTATAGCTTTACAAGTTTCGATTGCGCACAACAACAAATAAAATAACAATGAATTTTCGTTAGCAGAAAATGTGCATTTGTGCAAATGTTGGAAATGCATATTCAAATTCAAATTTTAGTGGAAATTTATATTCATAGACCAATTCGAGTTTAAGGAGAAACGAAAATAAATCGAGATGCAAAGCGCTAATATCACCAAATGAACTCGAATTGAAATTCAGACAAATAACTACATACACGTTACTAAATGCTCACACGCCCTATCTTCCAGCAGAACAAGTTGCAAGCGAGAATAGTGATAAAAGTGCTTGACGGAAAGTAAAAAAAAATACTCTTTTTTTTTTATATACAGTCATTCTCACATTGCTTTTTTTATATGTATTTTTTCATTTTATTATATTTTATTTAAGATAAATTTATTTATTTTCATCTTGATTTATTTTGTTTTATTTTTTCTTGCGCTGTCTTATATTATTTTATCTCATTATATTTTTTTTCCTTAATTGATCTTATTTAATTATTTTTTATTCTAATTTATTTTGTAACTTTTATATTATTTTATATTGTTTTATTTATTTTAATTTAATTTTTCTTTTTTATTTAATTTTATTTTATTCCAATTTTTTGACGTTATTTAATTTAATTTAAAATAATTTTTTTATTTGGTTTTATTATGTTAAATTGTACTTATTTTTTATTTGATTTCATGTAATTTACTTTTCTTTTCTTTTATTCAAGTTAAATTATTTTTATTTTATTTTTTTATATTTAATTGTATCTGATTTTATGTAACTTAATTTTGATTTCTTTTTTAAATAAATTTTATTTTATTTGATCTATGTTTACATATTTTATTTTATATCTTTTTATTTTATTTGATTTTAATTTTTATTTTGATTTTAATTTTCAGTTATTTAACTTTATTTAATTTTGTTGGTTTCATTTAATTTTTCAGGTTTCAGCTTATTTGATATTATTTTATTTGATTTAATATTTTATTTCGATTTTGTATAATTTAATTTTCTTTTATTTTATTCAAATTAATTTTATTTGATTTGATTTTATTTTAAAATGTGTTATTACTTTTAATTTTATTTTGCTATTATCATAATATTTTTAATTTTATTTTAATTTATTTA